TTTTTAAGACGTTTTTGCTCTAGAAAAAAAAAATTGTCAAAATACATGTATACTGCCTGATGTGAACAGGTCTTTTTTTTTTTTTTAAGACGTTTTTGCTCTAGGGAGTGTGCACTCACCAGAAAGACAGAGAGAGACAGAGAGATAGAAAGTGAGAAATCACCCCCCAGGGGGGATGGCCACGCCACAATCCCTTCTCCTCCATTCTCCTCTCGGAATCATGGGCACGCACGCACATGCACCTGGCGTGAGTTTAAGCCACCGGGTCTGGGACTCGAACCGCAGTTGACTACATGGGAGTTCAGCGACATAGCCATTACACTAACTGTCATTTTAATGTCAGAATCTAAAAAGACTTTTCTCATAATTATCTCCTTTACTGTCTTGCCAAAGGAAGATTATGTACTGTGGAGAGACAGTTTCTTTTAGCATAACTTATCTTTTTGGATCATGTCAGTAAACTTCAAGGTATGCCCACTGTTGACTTAAATGTATGAAAATCCTAAGATGAGACAACTGGGGACCGGCAGATGGCCTGAAGATTAAGGTGCTGGATCCCTCATGGCCGACTCCATGGTTGGAGTTCCAGGCTTGGCGGCTTGAAAATGACTCTAGCTGCATGTGTGTACATGTCCCAAATCTGGAGAGCAGATGGGAAGGGCAGGGATGCGGCATGGCCATCCTGCCTGCAGGTGTTTTCCCTCTCTCTTATTCTCTCTTGTGAGCACACGTGCCCTATAGCAAAAATAAATAAATAAATAGCTAAAACTGTAAGGACTTCTGTAGTCAACAAATCTCATTCTAGTATTTCTCAGACAGGAAACTTAAGACCCAGAGAGATAAAGTGACTTGTCCAGAATCGTACAGCCCGTTAGTAGCAGGGCCAGGACAAGGGCCACAATCTCGATTCCCACTTCTACGTCACGTAACCGTTATTCCAGTCATCCTTGTCTTACCGAATGGGACTGCCACCTACCCACCACCTCTGTCTCCAGTCTCATCTGTCCTGAAATGACCTCCCTCCCGCATCAGCCAGCAAGCATTATTTTACCCAAACGTTGCTTAATTCCTTCCTACTCCTTTACCTCACACTTGTGTATTTACCGAGCCCTTTCTGCATGTTGAGGCTCTAAATGCAGGAAAGAGAGTAATGACCAAGATAGCCGCCCACCTTACAGATATGCAGTAAATAACACCGTGTGGTCTTATTTACCACAGGTAAAGAACTCCCAAGGAGTGGGACCTTCCTCTCTGATGGGAGGGGCTGTGGTCCCAAGAAGGTGGGGAGCGTATCTGCTGCTTTTTTTTTATCTCTGGCTGTGCTTCCATGACATGGCATGTGGGTGGAGAGAAACAGACAAGAAGCCACACAGAAACAAGAGAATGTCAAGTGGTGATAAATGCTGTGAAGACAATACAGCGGTGTGATGTGGCAAGGGGTGTCCTGGTTTAAGAGAGGTCACTTTAGGGAGGTTGGTCAGGAAAGGCTTGTCTGAGCAAGTGACATCTGAGGTGAAACCTGAACTATGAGTAGGAGTTGGACAAGCAAAGATCTAAGTGAAACACATTTCGAGCAGAGAAGAAGAGAAAGACAAAAATCCCTGAGGCAGCAGTTCCAGCTCCAGGTAAGCCAGAGTAAGCACATTCTGTCTTGTCCCTTCCCTGTGGCAACAGACATAAAACCTGGGTGGAGACCATGGAGCTCGCTCGTGCTCTTTCTCTTTTTATTTATGTTTTTTAAAGAATTATGTATTTAATTTAATTTTTATTATTGTTGTTATTATTTTAATCTGACCACAGAGAGACAGAGAGAGAGTGAGAGAGAGAGAGAAGGGGAAAGTGAGAAAGCAAGCCACCAGGTCCAGGACTCAAATTGTGGTCAACCATGTGGGAATCCGGTGTCTCAATCACCATACCACCTGCTGGTCCTGGAACTCTCTTCATTTAAACACTAGAAGGCAGAGAGGAGAAGACCACAGTTTGAAGGACCACTGAGCCAACTGCAAACTCCCTCCTCTTTTTTCGGTGTCCCTCTCTTGGTTTTAAGATATGCCAATGTCCAGAGCTGAGACTGGGCCCTGAAAAGTAGAGATTCAGGAGAAGCTCTCAAGTTCCAGCCTCAGGAGAGGAAAAAGAGACTTGCAACGCTGAGGAGAATAGGAAAATCCTTAGTTTTTTCTTTTCTCTGTTCCCACACATGCCAATCCAAGGCAATCCAGATGTCTCAACTGTGTAAAACCCAGTGACATTAACAGCAGTGAGGGCCACAGGAGCCTCATGTTTAGGGAAGGGTGCAGTGGTCCCAAGAAGGTGGGGAAGATAACTACTGCTTTTCTCTCTCTGACTGTCCTCCCTCCATATGGCCACCAGCAAGGCACACAGTGGCAGGAAGTGTAGCTGAGTGTTGTTCTTAAAGGCTCAAGGACTGACCAGGGACCTGAAAGGCTTGGAGATCACAGAAAGAGAGCCGTTGGGAAAGGCATCTCATAACATCGGTGTATAAAAGTCCTTAGCTGGGACCAGCAGATGGCATAATGGTTACATTGCTGCACTCCCACGTAGTTGACCACAGTTTGAGTCCCAGACCCAGTGGCTTAAAACTCACGCCAGATACATGTGCGTGCATACCCAAAATCCCGAGAAGAGAATGGGGGAGAAAGGATTGTGGTGTGGTCATCTACCCTGGGGGGGGTAGGGGTGATTTCTCTCTTCCTGTCTCTCTGTCTCTGTCTCTCCAGTGAGTGCATGCACCCTATAGCAAAAATAAATAAATAAATAACCTCTCAAAAAAACTTTAGTTTATTATTCATATATAAAGAGCTAAATACGGAGGAAAGACCAACCCTATAGAAAAATGAACAAAAGATACGAACATAGGTTATTTAAAAATGCAAAAAAGCACCTTAAGCACATAGAAAGCTAAATCGTGTGTACCAGATGGTGGCCCACTGGTAAAACACCATGTTCTACGGAGCTGACCTACTTGGGAAGGATCTAGATTTGTCTCCAGAGACACCCCCCCACACACACACACAGAAAATACACACGTATGAAATGGGTCTGGATGAGGCAGGGGGCAAATCATGGTGTCAAGACCCTGTGGGGGCTGCTGTCTATCTCTATGTATCTCTCTCTCTCTCTTACTCAATAAATAAAATAAACTTAAATAAAATGTAAGAGGGTTGGCCCCATGGCCTACTGGTTAAGAGAGCTGGATTCCACATGACTGATTGTGCTTCAAATTCCGGTTTCAGTAGCTTGAAAACCACATCTAGTGTGTGTGCACGAATGTCCAAAATACCAACAGGATGAAGAAATGAAGAAGAAAAGATTGTGGCATGACTACACCCCGTTGAGGGTTCCCTTTCTCTCTCTATGGCTAGCACCTGTACTCTCGGGCAGGTCTGATTATTTAAAAATAATCAAACTAGACAAAAAGAAATACAACGATAAAAAGAAGAAAAAGTTAAGTAACACCCTGTAACAATAAATTTTGAATGATTATAAACTCCTGTCTCTCCTCTTTAAAGTTTAAGGGGAAAGGAAAGGCATTTCCAAGTTCGAACCATGAAAACATCCTAGAAACAATAAACCTAACAGTAATGAACACTGCTAACACCCAGATTGTGGCCTCTAAATACCATGTCCTTGCAGAAATGGCTGACCTGTATTGTGGCAGGAAATAATAGACGATGAGCCTGAATATTCTCTTGTAACAAAAATTGTCCTGCCTTCTAGCCATTCATATGGAAATTTTAAAATTTTTATTCTTATTATTCTTTCGTTTTTGCTGTAGGGTATATGTGCTTGCTGGAGAGAGAGAGAGAGAGAGAGAGAAAGTGAGAGATGACTCCCCTAGGAAGGATGGTCACACTGTAATCCCTTCTCCTCCATCTTCCTTTGGCGATTTGGGAAATGTAAGCACACAGGTCCAGTATGTTTTTCAAGTTTCCAAGTTCAAGACTCAAACTGTGAAGTTGGCCATGTAGGATCCAGCACCTTAATGACCATGCCACCTTCTGGCATGGAAATAGTTACAGATGGATAATATGATATCAGGGATTTATTTCAAGGTAATCCAGTGGGGAAGAAGACAAAGGGAATATAGGTAAAACAAGAATGGCAATGAGTTAGTAACTGTATCTCGGAGGTGGGTATATTAAGGTTTATTATCTACTCTTTCTGGCTTTATGTATGCTTGAAGTTTTCCACAATGAAACATTTATAAATTAAGTAGATGAATCAACCAGTTGGGGGTAGTTATGCCATGTATCCCATCAGGCAAGAGCAAAACCACTGAGGTGAAAACCAGGAAGACGATGTATCAAAGGAGCCTAAAGGAAATAAATAGACAAAATGACAAAATATAGCTGCTACTCTTTGTAGAGAGCCAGCTAGATTCCAGGACAGGGACTAGGCAACATTAGCCATCTATATTTATAGTCACAATCCTACTGCATTTCAGCTTTATAACATTCTGGAAGCAGAAGGAAATTGGGTCATCCACATTTTACAACAAGGAAGCCAAGACTCAGATGCCTCAAGCCACAAACTGGTAAAGACCTGGCACTCAGGACTTTGCCCTTTAATTTTTATGCCTTTTTTCTTGCCTATGTGGTCTATGGGCCCAAAAAGGAATGAAGGCAAATCCTTCCCTCAAAAGAGATGGTCTCAATGTAGAAATGAACCTTTGTTTTCTTTCTTCATTTTTAAATAATTTATTTTAACAGCTTATCTCACCTTGTCTTTGTTCAGTGCTATTTTATTTGTTTATTTATTTATTTTTATTTATATTTGCCAGAGGGTGCATGTACTCACCAGAGACACAGAGACAGACTGAAAGGGAATGGGAGAAAGCAGCCCCATCAGGGAATACGGTCATCCTGCAATCCTTGCTCCATGTCTCCATCCTATCAGGATTTGGAGCATGCATGCACACATTCCTGGAATGTTTTTCAAGTCACTGGGTCCAAGATTCAAAGCATGCTATCAGCCATGTGGGTTCCGGCTCCTTTAATCACGAGGTCACAGGGCTGACCCAGTGCTCTCTAATTTTAAAAGAAAACAAAGTAATTAAAAATAGTTGTCATCCAACAGAAGAACAAGTCACATTTCTTCTGCAGGTTCACTTTTATAGCAATGAATACCAAATCTTCTCTTCATCCCTGCGACAACATATGAGGTCAACACGTGAGGGAAACCCAGCTAGGGTGGGAAAACACACGTGCATTTGTATCTTCTGTGAGCTTCAAGACGGATGCTCCTCCACGGCAGAATGAAACTCCTAAGGCATAAGTCACATGCACATGGGACATGGGATCTCCATTAAAATAACATCGATCTTTTCCATTTGGAAAGTATGTTTTGGTTCTGCTTTTCTTTCTTTCTTTTCTTTTTTTTTTTTTTTAGATTTTCACTACATTCGTTTCAATAATGTGAGGAAGGGACTTCATTTTAGAAAGGTTTCCATCAAAACAGATGAAAAGGACAGTTTCAACACATGGGGCTGAAGCCGGGCTCTCCTGCAAGGCTCTCTAATAGGCATTACTGCTTGGTGTATCGGTTTTCTCTCCCTCTGGATTTTTACTTGACTCATAACTCTTAGGG